CTCCTGCTCCTCCGGTTCCGGCTGGGTCGCTCATGATGCCGCTGCTTGCACAAGCTGGCTTTCAGAGACTTTCGGATTGCTGTGATGGGATGATGAGCTGCTTGTGCGTAAAATGCAAGTCCCTCAGAGTTTGATCAGGCTTTCAAACCTCTGCCTGTGACGGAGCCCCTCCAGCATGGCTGCGTCAATCGCTAGCAGAATCCGAAAGTGGTTGTTTTCGGAAACGTTTCCAACATAAAAGCTCTTTCACGGAAACACGTCTTCTGGACTCTGCGTGACAGTTTCCGGCGAGGAGTGGGTGTCCCTATAGGAGGTCCTGAGACCTCTCCACTGTTTTCGCTGGAAACGTCTCTGAGCCATCCCTCCGACTCACTTTCCCTGGAAGTTCCTGCTCGCCCCCTACTGGTTCCCTCTTCAGCTGCTACGTCTCTTTCAACCTCAGGGAGCCTTTGCACCTCCTGTCCTTCCGATGGCAGTTCCCTGACACCTACATATCCACCACATATGGTAGAATGTTCCTGAGTCTCTCAGTTGAGACAGAACCAGCCAAACTTGAAATTTAGAGGAATTCCAGAGGAGCCAAATGAGAACATAAGATTTAAAATGGTGAAGGAGCTGGCAATTTAGTTAGATAGGAAGGAGGAAGAGATAAATTCCTCCCTAGCAAATATATTTCGGATAAAATCAAAATCAGCTAGAGCTAGGGTGAAAAAATTACCAGGAGATGTAATAGCCATGTTTAACTCGTTGGAGGGGAGGAACGAAGTATTGAAACAGAACTATAGCAAAAGGCTATATATTGAAGGAATCCCAATTATTGTATTTAAAGAGATTCCTTCGAGATTTCTTCGAAGGAGGGATGTGTATAAAAAATTAACCAACCAATTGAAGAAAAATGGGATCTTATATAGATGGGAGTTTCCGGAAGGAATTTCTTTCTATTTTAAGGACAAAAGATTCAAGCTGTCTAGCTCTTCAGAACTTGAAATATTTGCAAGAAGATACGAGAAGGAGCTTGGAAGGATGGCAGGGGGGGAGGGGGAGCGGAGGGGGGAGGGGGCGGGGGCGAGGAAAGCGAAGAGGAAGAGAGAGAGACAAACTTAACAGAAGCAAGGGAAGGGGAAGAGAAAGAAGACAGAGAACAGTAGTTTAATCCAGATCAGATAATTTACTAATTTTAAATACTTGATGGCCTTAAAAACACTGTCTTGGAACGTGAACGGACTGAACAATAAAAATAAAAGGAATCAGATTACACATGTATTATTAAAAAAGAATCTTGACATAATCTGTCTACAAGAGACTCATGTAACAACAAAACATAAGAGAATTCTTAATAATAAGAAACTGGGGGTGGATTTTGTGACATCAGATAAGGTTAAAAAAAGAGCTGTGGTACTATATATAAAGGAAAAATTTGACCCAAAATTATTGTATAAAGATGAGCAGGGGAGAATGATAGTAGTACAGATTGTATTTCAAGGAATCAAAATAATTATCGTCGGAATATATGCCCCTAACGATAAAAAATTGGCTTTCTTCTTAGAATTAGGCAATAAGTTATTAGAATGGATTGACCAAAAAATGATATTGATGGGCGATTTTAACGGAGTGGTGTCACCAAATTTAGATAGGTCAACAAAAAAGCAAGAGACAAAGGAGGGCAACCTACCTCGAACGTTCTTTGATCTGGTGGATAATATGGGATTAATTGACGCCTGGAGATTTAAAAACCCTACTATAAAACAATATACCTTTTTCTCAAATCCAAACCAGAGTTGGGGGAGAATAGACAACATTTGGATCTCGAAAGAGTTGATACAAAACTTAGTCAAATCTGAAATACTCCCACAAACTATATCTGACCATAATCCAGTATTTATGGAGATAAAGGGTAAGGATAACAGAGCAGTTAGATGGAGAATGAATGAAGGTATATTTAATAACCAAAAGATAGTAAGTGAAGCGAAAGAAACAATCGAAGAATATTTAAAGTGGAATTTACATAAAGAAACAGCTACAGAAATGGTCTGGGATGCTGGAAAAGCCGTTATGAGGGGCTTTCTGATTCAGAAAAACAGCCATTTAAGGAAAGAAAAAGAGAAAAAGAAAGAAGAGATTCTAACGCAGCTTATGGAGAACGAAAGACAATTAGCTATTAAACCAGACGAGGAGACAATAAAACAAAACTTAAAAATATTACAAGCCCAATTTTCTATGATAGTTAACCAGGAAATTGAGTGGAAAATTAAAATGCTGAAACAAAAGAACTTTGAATCAGCTAATAAAGTAGGAAAACATTTGGCGTGGCAAATAAGAGAAAGGAAAAAACAAAATACGATTTGTAAGATAAGGGATGGAGAAAAGTTAGTGGAAGAGCCAAAAGAAATAAAAAAGATATTTCAGAAATATTGTAAGGAACTATATAAAAGAGGAAATGAAACAGAATATGAAATAGACAGATATCTGGAAGAACACCACCTACAACAGATTACCAAAGAAGAGAAAGAGCTATTAGACCAGATGATTACAGAAGATGAGATAAGGAAGGCAATAAAAAAGATGAAAATAGGGAAAGCGCCGGGGCCGGATGGTTTACCAGCTAAATATTATAAAATACTAAGTGAACAATTATGCCCAATTTTACGTGAAGTGATGAATAATATCGTAAAAGAGGGAAGAATTCCGAACACCTGGAAGGAAGCATATATTACTTTAATACCTAAAAAAGATGTGGACGCCTTAGAGGTGAAGAACTATAGGCCGATTTCGTTATTAAATAACGATTATAAACTGTTTGCGGATATAATGGCAGAAAGATTAAAAAGGGTATTAAAAAATAAAATCCATAAAGACCAAACGGGCTTCCTACCAGGAAGACAATTAAAAGACAATGTAAGAAATGTGATAGACATCATTGATTATCTGGAAACTAGAATAGACAAACAGGCGGCCTTGGTATTTATCGACGTGGAGAAGGCATTCGATAATGTCTCTTGGCGCTTTATGACGGAAAACCTGAAGAGGATGGGAGAAAGATTTAGAAAGGGCATAGAGGCCATTTATTATGAGCAAAAGGCAAAACTTATAATAAATAATTCTACATCAGAATTTTTTGACATTTCTAAAGGGACCAGACAAGGATGCCCCTTGTCTCCCCTACTTTTTATTTTAGTATTGGAAGTTCTTAATAAGAGGTTGAGGGAAACAGCAGAGGTTAAAGGAGTCAGGGTAGGAATCAAGGAACATAAAATTAAAGCCTTTGCGGACGACATTGTTCTAACATTAGAAAATCCAATACATAGTGTAAAAGAAGCCTTACAAAAAATTGAAGAGTTTGGAGCTGTAGCAGGATTCAAGGTTAATAAGAATAAGACTAAAATACTGACTAAAAATCTATCTAAGGAAGATATAGCAGACTTAGAACAAAAGACCGGAATTATGACGGCAAAGAAGGTGAAATACCTTGGAGTTTGGATTACGGCTAAGAACATCAATCTATATAAAGATAATTACGAGGTCACCTGGAAGTATATTAAGAAAGATTTAGAAATTTGGGAAAGAATGAGACTATCTTTTTTGGGGAGGATTGCGGTTATTAAAATGAATGTTCTGCCCAGAATGCTATTTCTATTTCAAACCATCCCGATACTTAAAGGCCTAAAGCAATGTAAAGAATGGCAAAAAGCCTTAGCAAGATTCATCTGGCAGAAAAAAAGACCGCGAATAAAAATGAAAATATTGGTAGACAGAAAAGAAAGAGGGGGTTTTTCCCTTCCGGATTTATGTCTATACTATGAGGCGGCGTGTTTAACGTGGTTAAAAGACTGGATAACGCTAGAAAATAGAGATATCTTAGATCTTGAAGGCTTTGACAACAGGTACGGATGGCACGCGTACCTGTGGTACGAAAAGGTGAAAGCACATAGAGGCTTTTGGAACCATATTTTTAGAGGACCAATATTCCAAGTATGGGAAAGAAATAAAAACCTATTGGAAAGGAAGACACCCTGGTGGATTTCACCAATAGAGGTGTTAATGGTCAAAAAAGTTAATATGGAAGGGAAGAATGCCACCTATGAAGAACTTACAAGAAAAACGGATCAAGGTATAAAACTTAGACCATATGAAGAGATTAAAAACTCGTTTACTGGCTGGTTGCAATACCACCAAGTAAATGACTTGCTAAAAGAAGATAAAAAGAAAATAGGATTTGAAGACAAAAAATCTAAATTCAATGTGGAAGTTGTTGAAGGAAAGACCAAAGTACTGTCTAGAACATATGATATATTATTGGAGTGGTATACAAAAGACGAAGAGGTGAAGGAGGTTATGATTAAGTGGGCAATAGATTTCGGCTATAATATTGATTTTGAGAGATGGCTAGAATTATGGAATACTAACATGAAATTTACGGCATGTATGGCACTAAGGGAAAATATATGGAAGATGATATATAGGTGGTACATTACACCAGTGAAATTGGCTAAGATATATAGGTTAAAAAACAAAAAGTGTTGGAAATGTGGAGAAGCAGATGGTGACTTCTACCACATGTGGTGGTCATGCAGCAAAGTGAAGGGCTTTTGGGAATCAATCTATAATGAACTTTAAAAAAATTAAATATACGTTTCCCAAAAAACCCGAAGCTTTCCTGCTAGGAATGACAGGCAAAGAAATTAAAAAGGAAGATAAGGTACTATTTCTATATGCCACAACAGCCGCAAGAACGATGTTAGCACAAAATTGGAAAATGGATGTCATACCCAATATATACGATTGGCAGATTAAATTAACAAATTATGCCGAGCTCGCTAGAATAACTGTGAGAATAAGAGATCAAGATGAACAGAAACTCCATGACAACTGGGTTAAGTATTGGCCATATATCGGAACTAAATTTTAAATGACACTAGCGGGACTGAAAACAACTCTAACAGTAAATGGCTACTATGTGAAACAGATAAAATACGTGAATATAAGGTCTATTTGATACTTACCAAAGGAGTAGAAGGAGGTCCAAGGCTCGGCAGAGCCTAAAATGAATGTATTTACGACTTATGGAATGAATATATTTTGTGCAATTTAAGTATTGGATTTTGTATAAGTTTATTTGTACATATGTATAATATCAATAAAAATTTATCAGCAAAAAAAAAAAAAGAATGTTCCTGAGTCTCCGCATCTCCAACAATTACTTGACACATTTTTATACATTTTTGAAAGTTTCCATGGTGTTAGATACCATCGATGTTGCATTTTTTGAAACTTCTCTCTAATTGTGTAACAGTTTGTGAATTTCCAATTGATCTTCCATAAATTTTCCCATTGGGCCATGGTTCCCTCACTTCCTCTTGAGTTATCTTCAGGAGAAGAAAATGCTACGGAGGAAAACCTACACAAATCCAGAGTGGACTCTCTAAGATGGTTGGATGGTGTCCTGGACAACTTCTTCCAGCAACTCCGATGGCCCCTTGAAGCTAATGAAAGTCTTGGGCCTGGAGCTTTTGGAGGGGCAGGACCAGGAAAGCTTCTGCCACCATTATCCTTCCAATTGCGATTCAGGCCTCATCATACGACAGAAACTACCCTGGTTGCCCTGCTTGATGATCTCCGATGGGCTAGAGACCAAGGGGAAAGCTCTTTCCTGGTTCTGCTGGTTCTCTCAGCAGCTTTGGAGACCCTTGACCATGGTATCCTTCTGGAACCTCTAGGGGAGCTGACGGCACTGCTGTGCAGTGGTTCCCCTCCTTCCTCCTGGGCCATGTCCAGAAAGTGGTGTTGGGGATGAGTGTTCAGACCCCTGGGCTCTCACTTGTGGGGTTCCTCAGGGCTCTGTCCTCTCCCCCATGCTTTTTAATATTTATACAAAGTCACTGGGAGAGATCATCAGCGGGTTTGGGCTGCGTGTTCCCCAGTATGTGGATGATACCCAGCTCTTCCTCTCTTTTAAATTGGAACCAGTGAAGGTCCTGTGTGAGTGTCTGGAGGCAGTTGAAGGATGGATGGCAGCTAACAGACTGAGGTTGAATCTTGACAAGACAGAAATACTGTCCCAGGGGGACAGGGGGCAGGCAGGCAGGTGTGGGGGACTCCCTGGTCCTGAATGGGGTAACTGTGGCCCAAAAGGACCAGGTGCACAACCTGGGAGTCATTTTGGACTCACAGCTGTCCATGGAGGCGCAGGTCAATTTTGTGTCCAGGGCAGTTGTCTGCCAGCTCCATCTGGTATGCTGGTTGAGACCCTACATGCCTGGAGACTGTCTCCCCAGAATGGTGCGTGCTCTGGTGATCTCCCACTTGGACTACTGCCATGTGATACATGGGGCGATCTTTGAAGGTGACTCGTAAACTGCAACTAATCCAGAATGTGGCAGCTAGACAACAGAATGGGAGCAGCCATTGAGACAACATAACACCAGTCTGAAAGGATCTTCACTGACTCCCAGTACATTTCTGAGCACAATTCACATTGTTGGTGCTGACCTTTAAATTGCCTCGGTTGCATTTTTCAGGCATAGATTCCTGTTATGCCTTCTGTCACAAATTTATTTGCTGAAGGAATTTTTTGCTGTCTCTGAGCTTTTTTTCCTACTCTGCTAATTGTATGTCGGACTTGCTCTGGAAATCATTATGGAGGAGCAAGATCATGGACCTAAAGCCCTACAGCCTCACTCTCTGTAGACCTGAAGGAGCATCTCCACCCCCATCGCTCATTCTGTACACTGAGGTCCTCCTTCGAGGGTCTTCTGCTGGTTCACCCCCCCACCCCCATTGAGAAGCGAAGTTACAGGGAAGCAAGCAGAGGGCAAGGAAATGGGCAACTATCTGACATTTAGAAGACAGCTGAAGGCAGCCCTGTATCAGGATGTTTTTAATGTCTGATGTTTTACTGTCTTTTATATGTACTGTAATTTGCCCAGAGTGGCTGGGGAAACCCAGCCAGATAGCAGGGTAGAAATCCTACAATCATTCTTCTTATACTGTGATTTTTTTGTAGATATTTTGGAATTCGTACTGCAATATCAGTTCATGATATGTTATGGGTGGAGAAATCACAGGGATGCCATAAACGGTAATCCCACCCACAAACTCTCATTCACATACAGTCTGTAAATTAGGGGAGGTCACACACCTCACCGGTGCTAATACTGGCACTCTTTGGCCTGTGTAGACACACCGTATATGTAGAGCCTCCAGCCACAAGCACTGTCTACCATGAAAATGGGGCCTTTGACTGGGAAGAATCTCAGGTTGTCAGTCACTTTGACACTGCCTACAAAGAATAACAGGGACAGAAATGCTTTTGAGGTGCAACTTCTGTATCAATCCTGAGAGCCATTCCATGGACTCTGCACCTGTTTCTGGTGACAGGTGTACATTATCCTCACCCTCAGTGAACCAGGCAGTGGAAAAGACATTAAAGATGGAAGCCTGAGAGAGAGGGAAAGGTTTCTGGCTGCTTCCTAGGTGGGATTGCAGAAACAAAGAGCCGCTTCTGAGAAGGCCTCTCCCCTCCCCTCTTCCTCTTGGAATTTCCTCTCCTCTCCAGGGGACCAATTGTTGGACTGGGCAGAATCGCTGCGTCTGGGCAGGGGCTTATGGGGGCGGGCAGAGGATGGAGATTGCAGGAAGGAAGGGAAGGGGGTACAGGACCCCTCACTTTCCAGGGATCCCTCTCAAGTCGCTTTGAAGGGGTGGCCGATTCCTGGGCTGGATGGAGAAGCAAAGGAGGCCCCTTCAGAGATTCCCCGTGGGCGACACGATGGAGAGTCTCCTCACGGACTGGTCTTCCTGTATCTCTCTCTCCCCGTCCCCACGCCAATGCTGCCCTTCCCCGCCCCAGGGATGCTCCCCCCGACTTCCTCGACCCCCTCCCTCTTTCCCTGAGTCTCCCCAGCACCCAGAGGCCGCCTTGGCGGGGCTCACCCCTCGCCCTGCGCGCCCCATCTCTCCATCCAGAGGACACCCCCCGTCCAACACGTGCCACACGGGGTCTCTATCCAGGCGTCCCTCGCGCCCGTTAACCCATTCATGGCTCGCCTTTCTCCGTGCAGATCCCACAGGGCCCCAGGGATGCCTGTGCGGGGGAAACGGGGCAAGGAGGCCTTCGTGGGGACCCCCTGGGTGGGGGCCCCATGTCCGCCGCTGCCAAGGCGCCTAAGGGGCCCACGAAATATGCTTTCGGAAGCTGGCGGGGGTCTCTGGGTCATTTTCTCCCCGCAACCCCATTACCTCTTTGTCCTCGCTCCCGATTCTCCTTTCCTTTCCTGCAACATCCACGGGGGTGTCCTCCCCTGCCGCCCCTCCTCCCCTTTCCGAAAGCGCCCCCCCCCCTAGAGCTACGGCGCAAAGCAGCAATCCGGCGCAGAAGAGCCACTTCCGGGAGAAGCAGGCAGTTTGGGAGGAGGGTTCATCCCCCCCCCCTATTTCGGGAACAGAGCTAGGGTGGCGAGGAGGAGGAGCACCATATTGGGGAGGGGATTTGGGGTTGTGGGGGCGGGGTGAGAGGAGGATGTGCGGGGAGGGGAGGGAAAGATTTGAGACGGGACGGGAGGAAGGTTATTCCCCTCCCGTTTTCCTCCTGTAGATCAGGAGAGCGGGGGAGGGGCTGATCCTGGCAATCCAATTACAAATTGGGGTCCCCCACCCCACAATGTTTACAATGGCTCTGTGTGTGTCTCAGGCAAAAGGCGGAGACCTGCTCTGTGTGTTTTGCTAGCAGTTAAAATTGCACTTTTTGGGGAAATAGCTTTCTTTTTGTCTGCTTTGCATTGACGCTTTTGTCTCCAGCTCAGCCAGGGGAGCTGGGGTTGGAGTGCCAGCTGTGTGTGTGTGTTTGTGTGTGAGGGGGACCCCCCCCCCCTGCAACAAGAGGCTCCCAGCTCTATGTATGTCTATGTATTTTATTGTCTCTTTCTTGGACTGAGGCGGTGAGGAAAGAGGGGAAAGTTTTCTCACTTTGTGTTTTGCTTGAAGGCTCCTGTCCGGCTGAGGGCTGGGGCTGCAGAGATCAGGCTCATTCCCCCCTTGGCACAACTGCAAGTTCTCTGCCCAGGACTGGCAGGCTGTGCAGCCGAGGGGGGCATTTATTTATGAGTCTTTTCTTTCTATAGGCCTTCTCACATTGGGCCTTGCTGGGGCAGCAGGCCACCAGTCTCTTTTCAAAAGGCTCCCCCCCCACCTTTTATTTTATCTACTACATGTCAGAAGGGCAGGGAGTCCCCCTTGTGTACAACTTAAGCAGGAGAGCATAATGGGGGGGGGGTCACACTCACAGGAGGAATGGACTCCATTACAAGGCATGGTGAATAATTTTGGCAAATTCAAATGCAAATACGGTGGAGTGATGAACCCCAAACAAGTGGGAACTCCCTCCGGACAGCCCCCCCCCGGGCTCGTAGGACCTGGACCTAACCAACCAGATCTTTAGAGGCATGACAAGACACCCTGGATGTTCGGAGCAGTTTGCATACGCAGACTCCTGGGTAGCGGTCCTGAGAGAGAGCCCTACGTGGCTACAGACGTTGAAAGGACAGTATTGCACCTCGCTGAGGATGCAGTGGGCACTGGAGGAGGCAGAAGTAATCAAACCCCAAAAGAAAGAGCACTTTTCCAGAGGAGAGGAGAAAATGAAAGAACCGACCTGGCCCCCAATGGCTCCCATATCTGCCTTTAATTGGCCAGATCTAGGAATTTTGATAGCCTTAGGGGGCATAAAACACCCGGCCTCCGAGCCTTCTTCCCTTGGGTGTCCCCCAGCTGGTGCCTGCCCCCCTTTCACCCAGCCAGCCCATGACAGCAAAAGCAGCAACAACAGTAAAATCAGTACGATAATAATATGCACACTGGTCCTCTGGCAGGAAGAATAATAACTTCTGGGACTATGGGAAAGGACTATTTTCCCCAAACCCCAGAATAAGCAGGAGCTATGGGATTGCCCCATGGGGTTCGTAAGGGAAGATGGGCCCCCCAGAAGACTTCCCTGGTACCTGCAGCCCCTCCTTCCCCCTCTTGCAATAAGGATTGGGGGAAATCTCCCATTAAATTACAGTATTTTAAATTTTCTTCAGAACATGTAGGAGGCAAGGAGAAGTTCTGGTGAAGAAGCAGTGTTTGGAGATCATGCGGTGGTGGGGGTGAGAGAGTTTGGTGCAAAAACCAGTCACACACATATGCACCCGTCTTGCATGCTTGAGTAGAGCAACTCCAGGGCATAAGCCAAGTATCGGCAGGGTAGGGGCCTGGTGTAGAGCAATTCCCATGCTGAGGTCAAAAACACACACAGAGGCAGCAGGACTTCTTCAGTAATCGTTTACTGAGCTTTCAAAGCATGCAGTTCTCACTGGGTTCCCAATGAGGCACAAAACTTTGCTCCTGAGAGCAAATCCAGTTTCAGCAGTAAAAAAATACAGCACACAGGATATCTAAGTCAGGCACACACACCGGCAGAAGGGAGCAAGGGAGGAAAGAGGCTGGAAGGACACAGGGCAATGGATGTGTGTCCTTCGCTTCCTGTCGTCTGGGAGGGAAGTCAGGAACTCGGCATCTGCAGGGACTTCACGAAGCAAAGCTTTCTGCCGCTGCTTGCAGGCACATCCCAGAAACACACACTATGATAAGTGGTGTGTTGCCATATCAGTTGTTTTTGGAAGGTTATCATGATGTGGTCAAGAAACCAGTATTGGACAATATGTCGCCCAGCCCTCACTGACCACCAAGTAATCCAGATAAACCCTCACCCCTTTTCTATCGAAAGGTACTTTACATCTTAGATTATAATCACATTGTTTGACATTGCCTTCAATATTTCATTACTATACAGTTTTACACATAAATACCAGAACTTCACATACACAACATGTTTTAAAGACCAATTTCCTGCTGAGTTCATTTCTGTGAAGAAAAGAGTGGACTCTGAGAGGAAGACGTCCCACACTCCATACATTTAAATGGGTTCTTACATGTGAGAGTCTCTGGATGTTCCTTAAACAATCCA